TCTATTCGCACATCATGTACGTGTTTAATTATTCATTTCACGAACAATGGCAAAAAAGTAAGAACCTCAATGTCTTCCACGGCAAAATAATTTACAAATTCAAGTCATTCAAAACAAAAGAGAAGCATACAAAATGTATTCGAGTTCCAAACATGTTTCTTTTCAGTAGTTTGTATTGGTAAGAAGATAATAATCAAAAATACCTTATGAAGGTGGAATTCAACTCCATCTACAACCAAAGAAATGTCACTTTTCAAACTTGCATTGCAAAACCTGTCAAAAGCATCAAGGTTCACATCAGCTGAACTGTAGTCAATACTGTCATGTTCATATTTTTAAATATTAATATATTATACATCATAGATTCATAATTTATCATATCCACATCTTGGGGAAGGGAGTACTAGAAGCAAGATTGAGATGGAGCAAAATTTGAATTTGATTTACTACTACACAAGAATGTGTTCTTGCAAAAGAACCATTGCTCTCACTAACATGAAAACAGACACAAAATGACCCACCAATCCTTAACAACACATTGTCACTTATGGTCACTGTTATAAAATACATAAATAGAAACTGAAAAAACTAAAACAAAAATCTGGCTCCACCTAGACCTCCCATGCCTGCCTCCAATTTTTCCTATTTTGATCCCAATTAACCCGCCAAGGAATAAGAGCCAGTACCCAGGGCTCTTTAAAGCACCACTTATGAATTATGATACAGCTATCAGGTTGAAGAAACTATGAACACACACATAAAAAAGAAACAACTTTACATATAAATACCAATTGAGACTTGAGAGAAGAAACCTATAGCCATTCTTTGATACTGGGGAGAAAGAACACTCACCAGGCATTTCCTTGACGGTAGAAAGAAGTAGCCTTCCCAGGAGGTGCCATCATAACTTCTCCAACCACTTTCTTTGTATTTCATATATAAAGGCAAGTTACCTCCCTGCTTTCGTCCCCGCAATGACAACCTTTGTGACCCTAAATTCAAAAAGATAGCAGATAAGACAGGTCACCAAACTGACTAACAACTCCCAGATTGTCAAAACCAAAACTTTACACCGGAATTACCGGGTTAATTACAATTACAGTCGTAGAAATTGGCGAAGATCCCCAGGAACCCCACATCACCCTTACAGCTAAGACTGTGTTCCCTGCACAAAGTGTTGATTCCAGTGAAAAAAGAAGGGTCTAGGGGTACAAAAAGCTAAAGAGACAAACAGAGACACTCAACCGGCGTCGAAAAAAGCTTACCAAACACAAAAAGATTCTCGCTTTTTGTGACAGCCCGTTTTTACAAATTGTCTTGGGTTTGACTGGTAGCTCTCGTATGAAAGCAGCATTGGCAAAGCGGCGGAGAATCCATACGAGATGAGAAGAAGGGAGAGGGGATCGGAGGGTAGTGAAGGCGGGAGGAGACAAGAAGACATGGCTAATGATGAAATTGGGGAGGGCGAAGGAGAAGGTGGTGGGGAGGAAAGTGGGAGACGTGGAGTCGAAGACAGGGTGGACCCCAATACAATTTGTCTTCGGGTTCGGTGGGGCCGGTCGATGAAGTTGTTAAGGAAGAGGATATTACTCCGAACATTTGATTTCAAAAAAGATGGGTGTACACGAAATTTGTGCACAAAATTTGTACATTTGTCTGTGAAGGATAAACAAGTATACAAAATTTGTGCCCAAATTTACCTTAAATATGATTCATTTAGGATTAACTCCGATTTAGGAATTCTGATTATAATTGTAATTGTAATTACACCAAACATTTTTCTCGTTTGTATTTTCTTTACATTGGTCCGTGTTATGTTATATTCCAGAATTGGAGCGGTTGATTTTTCAATTTTATGGAGTATGTAATTTTTTATTTTACGTGTTAAATTATACTCCTTCTGGTACTAAATAAACATCATAGCTTGACTTTACCGTTTTCAAGCAAGTCAAATTTTTTCCTTTTGTTTTTCCCATCATACCCCTACAAAAGGTAAATTATGTGTAGTGGGAGAGAGAAACTAGGTGTAAAGTATGTAATAAAGTAAAAGTATGAGAGTAACTTTATTAAAAATTTACCAAAAATAGAAGTGTAAAATTTATTTGGGATCTGCCCAAAAACGGAAGCGTGAAGTTTATTTAGGACCAGAGGGAGTGTAATAATTAAAATAAGTGCATTTGAACTTACTTTTTTTTAGTATAATTGACTGAATTTGCTAAAGAAGATCATTTTTAATTATTTTACACATAATTTTTCTTAATTTGATTAATAAAATATATTTTTAAATAAAAAATGTTCATGATTCAATAGATTTAGTCAATTTATTCACTTCTGCCAAAAAATATAAAATTTCAATAGATTTAACAGATTCAGTCAATTTCAGTGTTACCAAACAGACTTTGAATTATACTCCCTCCAGTCTCAAATAAACTTCACGCGTTTACTTTACGATTTTGAAGAATGTGGAATTGTTCTTTTAATTTTTCCATTATATCCCTAGAAAAGTAGAGTATGTGTAGTGGAAGAGAGAAAATGGGTGTAAAGTACTCTTTTTGTCTTGCATCTTTGTATAATCACCATCTATGTGTATATATATTTACGACTATCGTATTTAGTACTTACAGAATTCTACAATTCGGTTGTACGGAGTAATAAATACTCGGCTAAAGGGTCAAATAGGCGCTCGAACTAACTTAAAAAGTGCAAATCACCCCTTATATAGAAGGCTTTGTCCGGCCGTCGTCATTTGGGGCGGTTCCCGGTGGAATTTTATGATGAATTTTTTTTAGTATATCCTTAATTAAGTCTAGTTTACTCATACCAAATTTTAGCTAAAAATTCAATCGGGAAAGCAGTCAAAATGCCTGAAGCTTATAGCTCGAAACCTCGAGACATGTTTTCCATTAAACTACAAAAGTCATTGTATGGAGTTTTAAGGTTTATCACTATTGGATCGACTGATACATCATAACTTACTCTTCCATCATTCTGTCGAGTCGAGGTGTGGGGGCTCCTGGGGTGAAAGATTCCACCTTTTGGAACATCAGTTAATAAGTGAATATTGGATTCTACAAGTTTGTTGTTGAAGTCTTTCCTTATGCATAATAAGCACAACTTACTAACGTAAACTAAGGTTCTGGAACCAAAATACTGCGATATCAAACTGTGTCTAATCTTACATGAAAGGACTAAGGATGATTTTACTTGGACTATAATGTGTTGACCTGGTCTGGTCTGTTTAAATCTGGTCTGGCGCGTTTAAGTCTGGTCTAGTTTGATCTGAATTGTTCTGGTCTGATAACGTCTGGTCTTTGTGTATTTATATATAACTACGGAAGTCAAGTCCGGTTTGATCTGGTCTAGTCTGTTTAACTCTGATCTGGTCTGAGAATGAAAATAGTTTTAGTAAAAACATCATAAATGTCAAACCTCACACCACATCTAAGCGCGTGTACAACCGCCGTATGAGCAAATGACGTCACTCGCAAGTCAACGTGACTTAGTCACACAAGACGTCCATGAACATAGTTCATGCCATACTCAGTAAGTAAACATACATAACAACATCGCATATTTGGATTGAACGAATAGCAGAAATATTCAATATTCAATCATGGGCCACACACATGGCCAAAACGTAGGCACGCAGGCCCAAAACAAATGTATTTATTACAAGGTATCCATGAGCATAGTTTTTAGTTTAAAAAAGTAAAGGAAACGCGAACCACGTCTTTCTTTAGATCACTTCACCGAGCAAGGTGAGAATATCAAGCTTGAGTTTCAACCTGAAATGGTGTCCCCTCGAAGGGGTCAGTACAAGTACCGAGCGAGTAGGAGGCTAAATGTAGAATAACTAACGTTTCAAATATAAGACCCAAACATAGGGTGATACATATACATGTAGTCTCCCCCCAAGTTATGAAATACATATCAATATATATATATACACTTGGAAATACCCAACCCGTAGCTCATCGTTTATTTGGGAAAACAGTAGTAGTCAATATCTTTGACTTAAAATCCAACCCACCCATATACCTATGAGTGTATAGAACTTCTCATGGTTCAAATCAATTATCAATAGGACACCACCCGGTCCTAGATCATCAAAATGTAATCTATGAGTTTTAAGGATACACGCCCGATCCTTGGGCATTCCACCCTATAATCGAGTTTTGAGGATAACCGTCCGATCCTTGGGTACTCCACCCTATAACCGAGTTTTGAGGATAACCGCCCGATCCTTGGGTACTCCACCTTATAACCGAGTTTTGAGGATAACCGTCTGATCCTTGAGTACTCCACCATATAACCGAGTTTTGAGGATAACCGCCCGATCCTTAGGTACTCCACCCTATAACCGAGTTTTGAGAATAACCGCCCGATCCTTGGGTACTCCACCCTATAACCGAGTTTTGAGGATAACTGATTGATCCTTGGGTACTCCACCCTATAACTGAGTTTTGAGGATAACCACATGATCCTTGAGTACTCCATCCAATAACCGAGTTTTGAGGATACACGCCCGACCCCTGGGTACTCCACCCGACCTATGACTTACCACATATCACACTAGATATGGTCTATATCATATTTTACTAAAGATTAAACCAAGTCATAGTATTTAATTAATAGATATCATTTAAATACCATATTACGAGCCCGTTTGGAGGCCTCTTTTTTCGGCTTATCAGGCTTATCAGCCAGCTTTTTCACCAAACACGTAACTTTTACTTTTGTGTGCTGAATTGTGTAATAAGCAGAAAAAGTAAGGTTGGAGTTACTTTCTGGCTGTATTGGCTGAAGTTACTGTAGAGGACTATTTTAACTATTTTTACATGTAATTTTTTCTATAATTTATTAATAAAATATATTTTTAAAATATTTTTTTCTTGAATCAGCAGAATCAGCCAAAACAGCCAGAATTTCATAAATTTCAGCCGAATCAGCCAAAACAGCCTATTTTCGTGCTAGCTCTACATAAACTTGGGCGATTATCACTCGTAGGGCTGGCGATTCCAGGGCTTCCCGGCGGGTCGCCGGTGCGTCAACCAGCAGTAGGGAAGAAGGTTATCCTCTCTTTTTCGGATCTTTCTCGGTAAATGTCCCAGGAACAGAAGTTTGGGATAAAACTCAATCGGCGGTTCAGACCAAACGGGATCTGCGACCACATCAGAATTTCAACGAGAATATCGGCGAGTCTTCACGTTTGGCTTCGGCGGCAGGGGTATCAATGAAGGCGACCGCAGGACAGGATCTGCGTCGACGTGGCCTCATTAGTACCGATGACGGAACTTCAGCTACGAGGTTTGCTCTCACAGAGGGCGCTCCACAACGGTTTGCACAGAAACAGGGGATACCCTCCCAACGACGGTGGGGAGTGGACGAAATCAGGCTCGGGTGGCGACCTGCAACTAGTCGAAACAAGAGACGGCTTGGCTACCAATCATTACAGTCCTCAAGACCTGCTAGCACTCGGCTGATTTGAAGGAACACGACGGAAATCAGAAATGTTAAGCATAAAAGGTCCAACAGACTCAGGGCAAACTCACAGTCAGTAAGGTATCAGCCTGTTCTTATGCCAGATGGGTTTAAAATTTCAATTGAAAGTAAATGCTTTCAATTCCATATAATTAATAACAATGCATTGCGTATTTCTGAAATGAAACATGAGATTATTTCTGTTATTGTACTTGATTTGGAAAAGGTTTCTTGGTTGAAGGTCTCTATCCCCAGTCTATTTTCTGGTAGCTGGGCTTGCACTAGATTAGAATTGAATTCCACCATCATCCTTCATGATGCTAATATTTTTGGAGGCTTTATTCGAATTATTGAGGAGGGATGCAATTCTCTATTTATACCTGAAGGAAGAAATGGATTTGGAATTAATTGTTTCCTGTCAGGGATTACAAGAGCAATTACTTTAATGATTGCAAGAATAACGAAGGAGCCAATGCAGACAATTGAATATGCCACAAGTGTGGTTTTATCAGGAAATCAGAAGACACTTGTTAAAGAAGAGAAAGCTACTAAGTGTGCATCGCAGAGCGAGAAGATAATATCAAGGGATGTTTTTGTAGATATTCCTGAAGATTTTGTAAGTGAATGGATCTGTGGCGAGCATTTCTACGAACACTCAAGGGATGATTTTCTAGGCCATGCATCAGAGAGCGAGAAAAGAGCTCCTATTTCATCCATGGATGACCTCTGGGACTCTAACATGAATGATGATATTTGCAATAAAGCTTTGTTGGTCACACCAGAAAACTGCTTGCACACAGAGAACTTGAACACTCAAATTAAGATATACAGGGAAAAGTATCAATGGTCTCATCATATGAGGACAAGATCTCAAACTCGGCTGGAGTACTGACTATATGATTGAGTGTCGGTTTTTTTGGGAGGGACTTCTATATTGTACTTCGGGTTGGGCTGTTTCACTTATTTGTTTCTCTTTTTTCCTCTTTTTTCTTTCCTTTGTAATCTTCTTGTTTCTTTCTTTAATAATTTTTTGGCTCCTTTAAAAAAAATACCATATTCCATGCAATTCCATGCATAATATACATATGTAGGATGGTCGGGGTTAATCCCCCCTTCGAATTGCGCCCCGAACCGCATTTTCAGAGGAAATGGAATTCGGTGACAACAGCTTACCCGGCCCCGGGTATGCCCTATACCCGGCGCCAGGTATGGTCAGAATTTTGGGTCAACGGCCCGTTGACCCCCGAGTTGACTCCCGAAATGTGACCCGTTTGATACGAAATTTTTTATACAACATATATCATGTCTAAAACAAGACATAAATGCCATTTTAGTCATCCAAAACCTCACATATGTTTTATATACATTTTCTACTTTTCACATGCATAATCATGTAGTTTCATTCACATAAACCTAATCACCTTGACTAATCACATGCTTAAACTCTTTTAAACATCATTATGAATACTTATAACATTTATTTAGGTAATCTCATACTTAACCCAAAAGTTATAAGACATTAATTCATCCACTCACCTCGAATGAGCGTTATGAAGTTCTACCCTTCTGGGTTGAACTCCGGCGAAACTCCGACGAACTTTGACGAACTCCGGCGATAACTCCGGAGACTCTTTCAACTTCGTGAAAGCTCTTGAATCACCTTTGGCAAGTGCCTAACAAGGTTTTATCATCACAAAATCCATATTAATACAAATAACCACTAAAAGGTTATTTTCCGTCGAACCGGTCTCTTTGGCTTCTAAGTCCGTTCTACCACCTTTCAACCCATCGTTCAACACTTTTGGACGTGTAGAACCATCCTAGGTGTTCCTCATATGCTACACTAGTCATATGGTAGCAGGGGCAGAACCAGAACAAAAAGTAAGGGGTGGCTAAAAGTAGCGTACAATGCAAAAAAAATCGTTATAAAGGTTTAGAGAATATAAACTTTTTGGATCACACGAGGATGTTTTTCTCTATTACTTTCTTTTTTATCCCGTCTAGAAGATTCAGTGCCTCGTGTTACAAATTGTAAAATAAACATGATTACATGAGTAACCTAACAAGTTAAAAATATTTTCAACTTTAAATTCTTAGAGATAAAGCAATTAATCAATTAAAATTCAAAGCAAGTAAAGCAATGAAAGTAATTAATCTAAAAAAATATACAAACAATTTCAACTTCATATCAATTCAAGCAATTAATCAATTAAATTTTAAAGAAATTAAATTAATTAATCAATAAAATTACAAAAGAATTCAAACTGTCCAGTGATTAATCAATTCAATTTAGAATAAAAAAGTAATTAAAGCAATTAGCAAATAAGCAATTATACTAATTAAAAAGATTTCAATTTTGAAAGCATTTACGAGAGACCAAAGTACCGAACTGTTGAATATAGGCAACTGGCTTCACCACTTCAGAGTTCAGAGTATTTATCGAACGGACTTCGTCACTTCACTGCTTGACAGCCTTGACTCACTTCGAATCTTGAGAATCAAGCTAGGGCGGCCGGCGGAGAATCAAGCAACTGTGACGGAGAGTATATATTCTAGGGACGGAGAGCCGGCGATTGAGGACGAAGGGGCAATCTTGCATTCTTGCGAGGCGAGTGTGCTCTATCCATGCCGCTATGCGCTTATGCGGTGAGGATGCAATGTGAAAACGGGTTTATCAGATTGGGTAAAAAACGACGTCGTTTTGTTTATTTCTGTGCACTTAGACAAACGACGTCGTTTGGCAGATTAGTTGAATTAAAAAAAATACAGCCTGGAAGTCTTCTATCTCCCTGTTCGCTGAATCGGAGCGCTGGTCTCTTCACAAGGAAGAAGATGAGAAGCTACAGGGGCGGAAGACTAAATACCATATACTAATACTAAAAAAACTCCGGCGAAGGGGGGGCGGCAGCACCGGCTCGCACCCCTGGTTCCGCCCCTGTATGGTAGATAAAAAGTAGAGGAAAAGTTAATACAAGGTCATTAACTTAATCACCACACCTTTTTTCCTCTCTTTTCCCCTCTCAACTTCCTCCTTTGACTTCCTTGAGCTTGAGCTCGGAATTGGCTATGAAAGAATGGAGTTGCAGAGCTACTTTACCCCTCTTGGATGTCTTGGGTCATGCATAATGGAGGGGAGGGGATGGAATGGATAGTTTTGTCTTCAATGAACCAATAAGTGTGGGAAAGGAGCCCACCTCATGTCATCCACACACCAACCGCCACCCTCATGCACTCCACACCACATCTATATGTTGTGCAGTACTCCTTAGTCAACGTGATCTCTCAAAAAACGTGGGGTGGCCCCCACTCATGTGGGAGGTCATCCCAATATGTCCCGAACTGTACAATCGGCCCCGAAAGTTGCATTTCTCGGACTGTTTTAGTTATATTTTATTTTATCGGCTCAAATAAAATATATCACTTACTCCTCATCGTAATGGGCCTTTAGAATGATTATACATTCCCCAACTTTAATTTAGAAATCTCCAAAATACGTTTCGGGTTGTTATCTGATAAATTGTCGGTACTGATACTTGGGCCCTGTTTGACCATCCGATCAACCCAATGCCTTTCTTATGGCCCAACATGAATGTCCACCACCATATAACTATTATCTAGACCATGATGAATATAATATGTGGTCTCGTGTTATCGGGCGGCCCCGCTCCTGGTGTGGGCCCCGCGTGAAATTTACTATTCACGCAAAAGAAATAACAAAAATTTACAACCTCGTAAATTCATTACTCGATACACAATGTTACATACATAATTTACATAAAGGTAAATATATTTGGGGACGGTGTTACAATAATGGTCGAGTAATGAAAGTTGAGAGGTCCAATTAAGAGTCATTCTTCATTCATACATTTTTGTGTGTGGAAGAAAGTGATTTATATTAAACTAACAGAACGTAAGTAGGATACAAAAGGACAAAATGTCTTCTGCTTATCGTCTGCCCTCGAACTAGGCTTAGAATGTATCACCTTCATAGAAGCAATCAAATTCACTGATCGCATAATGGGCTTAACTGAGCCAATGACATGCAAACCAAACTTCTCATCAAATGTCTTAAATTCAAGAGTTTTTCTGTTAGGAAATAAAAACACGACCAAAACAACATGCAGTTCAAAACCGCCTGCCTTGTACGTGCTCACGTCAGATACCTTAGGGGCGCTACTCGTCGGCTGGGTAAGAAAACTGCACACAACGGCGGATCGAAGAAAACCCTATCAAGGGAAACAACCACTAGGGTTACTTGGTGCTTCCGTATCCCGAAATCCTTTTTATTCTCCGTGTATATAAAAGTTTACATTGTTTTTACACTTGCGTATGCAAATAGACAATTGCTGATTTTTTCTAAATAAATAAACTGACTGCGTACACAAGTAACTATGGAGTTCATACACAAAAACTGTACATTTTTGTACATTTTTTTTGTGTACAAGGATTTTTTCCCATTAAAGTGTACCCCAAATATATGTTCCACACTTCAAAGGGGATGAGTTTGGGGATTTGAGGCGCCAAACTCGTTAGCTATATACTTCGTTCGTATAAATTTTATTGTATTTAGGGGTGAGTTCGGTTCTTGCGGTTCGGTTTTGACCTAAAACCAAATATATAATCAAAGTAAAAAGTTCGGTTCGGTTTCGGTTCGGTTTCACACTCCAAAACATGGAACCACGGTTTGATTGATTCGGTTTGTTTCGATTTGGTTTCGGCTTTTTTGGTTATTTACTAAAAAATTATCATTTGATTTAAAATTGATATAATACTTTGAGGGATCAAAAATATTACATAAAGAATGCAAGCACACTATAACAAATAAAATAAAAATGAAAATACATAAATATGTCTTGAATTATATGAGTATGCGAGAGAGATAAAAGTATATACCTGTATATTATTAATTTACATTGTTTGTGACTAGTTCAAAAAAAGTTCATGGGTATATACATTCTATGTGATATAGTTGAGATGAATATTTATTGTTTCATCAACATGAATTCTTTAAGTTAAATAAAAATAAAAGTTAATTAATACTAATAACTAGTAAAAACATATTATCATCATTCAGTATAACTACATTATTACAGGCAATAAATGTGTAAATGAATTTATAAACTAAACTAAACATAACACAAACATTATTTCTCCAGCACAAGAAAATCAAAGACTATTAATGATATTAGGATTAGTTAGGATTAATGCGTAGCAATTGACAAATAAATTTTATATTTTAATTAGTTCGATTTGTTCGGTTTGGTTCGGTTTTGAAGGGTAAAAACCAAAACCGAACCAAACAACTACGGTTCGGTTCGGTTTTTTACATTCAGTTTCGGTTTGTTAGCGGTTCGGTTTTAATTGGCTACGGTTCGGTATAATTTGATTCGGTTTTCGGTTTTCGGTTTTTCATACCCAGCCCTAATTGTATTAACCCGTTGTGACTTATAAACTGCACATAACATTATGGAAGAACATTTTTGTCTCCCAAATAAAATAAAAGTGTTTAATATTTAGAGATTTTGACAAAACTTATCTGCATATTTAATCATCTTAACATTGAGTCACATGATTTTTAAATTTCTAAATTTGTTACATCAGAGTACGTGCTATATGTATGATTAATTATAGGACAAAGATGTTTGCCGCATTTTTTAATTAAGGGACTAATGTGAGAGTTCATATATCACGAGGGATTTGACACATTAAACATAAATTTAAAAGTTTTTAATTAGTCTCAAAAGAAAGTTAGTTTCTTTATGATAAAAACTTGATCGTGAATAAGTGAATTTGAAATTAATCAATTGAAAGTGATTTATTATGGTGTGCAAATGGCATTGAGAACGTAATGAATTGTTAAAGCAACTCATGTCTTACTTTCTTTCATTAGGAGGATGGGCTAATTTCTGAAAGTTTAAATTAATCGAGCGATGACGACATTAATAAAAACTAATCAGTAGTTGCAAACAACGTTTTTAGTAAAAGATTGGGTAAAGTTTTCAGGTTATTTTCACTTGCATTAAAATTTTCTGATTTAATCTAGTATGATGAATGTTGTTTAGAGTATGTATTTTCACTACTTTTCAAATTTGATTAGTTAAATTGTTCAAGCCTAGTTTCATCAAAATATATCAGAAAAGATTCTCAATAAAAAAACTACTAAGTATATACGTAGTGCGAGTAGTACCGTGCATGTAAATTATCAACGAAAAACCCATTTTTACATGTTTTGTACATGTGAGTCATGAGACATAACATTTCATTCATTAGAAAATGCAAGCATTGTTTCTTACGCAATCAAATATAGGAGACGTATATATAAGACGTGCACAAATTAATATATAGCGTGTATACTGAGAATTACTCGTTATTATAATCAAAAGCCAAAAGTAGAAAGGTTTGACACAAGTTGCGCATGCAAAGGAAGGGCTGAAAGTGAAGACAAGTGTCTAGAAACCCAAACTTTCACGTACAGAAGTGCAGGGAATCAGGGATCGGAGCACCTTACCTTAGGTTTTATTACCTGCAGGCCAGCTCACGCAACAAGACAACGCTTTACCGCATTCTGCTCTGCCCGCCTTCACTTTCATCACCTCTCTCCATTTCTTGTTAAAATCATTAATCATTAATAAGAAAAAAAAGGATGACACCCCATGAAGGCCCCCAACATCGATCGGACGGCACGATGAGAGGGTGTAAATTGGACTATAATCACAATTGACAGATACAGAGTGAGAATCTATCCTCGTTACTTGCAGATGCCCTATGCATTTTTCAGCATAGTAACCCCTCATCGCAGTTGTCGGGATTCGCACTACCAAAAAACACGGGATTGACAGAGATTTTGGCACGGATTTGGCACGAGCTATTTGGCACGAAAAATTGATAAGTCCGTGCCAAATTCCGTGCCAATCCCGCCTTTTTTTGTAGTGTCGAACCTGAGACCTAACCCTTGTGCCACTCACTCGCTACCAGTTGAGCTACGCCCACCAGTAATAACTAAGGTATGGGTACTTTTTATAGTGACTAGCTAGGCTGGAAGGATGGTTCATTAATCATTAATAAGAATAATACGAAGTATTAAAAAAAAATCCAGGAAACTTGTTTTCTTTTTTCAGTTTTTTCCCCTAGCAGTTTGAAAAATTGAGGTTTCCCCCAAGTATAAAGGTAGTTGTCTATGGGGTGTTTGGAACAGATTCTGATTCCGCTTCCCCAACTTCTAAACAAACTCATTCTAGGAGTAAACTAGAGCACCAGAATCATTTCTGCACTTTCACCCAAAAACTCCGACTTCTGCTTCTGCTCCTTGAAGGAACAAAAACATTTTTAAGTCCCAGACCAGACTAGATCAGACCAGACCAGACCAAACTTCCGTAGTTATAAAATATACAAAGACCAGACTAGACCAGACCAACAAATTTCAGTCCATAAGAAAACATCCTTAATACGGATTATATGTTTGACATGCGTATGTAGTAAGGATCTAAATTTAGAGCTCGTTTGATAGCACGAAAATCAGCTGATTTGGCTGATTCTGCTGAAATTTATGAAGTTTTGGGTGAAGTGGCTGCATTGGTTGATTCTACCGATTTAAGAAAAAATTATTTTGAAAATATATTGTATTAATAAAATAAAGGAAAAATTATATGTAAAAATAGCTAAAATAATCATCTACAGTACGTAACTTCAGCCAATACAGCCAGAAAAGTAACTTCAACCTTACTTTTTCTGCTCATTACACAATTCAGCGCGCAAAAGCGAAAGTTACGTGTTTAGTGAAAAAGTTGACTGATAAGCCGAAAAACAGTGTTTCCAAACGCCTTAAAATAGAACTGTAGATTGTAGAATAACGATCATTAAGAAAAATGATATGAAATCAGAAGAGACCGGGCAAACATACTGGAAATATTCAACAATCAAATGACCTTTTAAACACATAATTTTTGTTTTCGCGCTATACATTGTGGAATAATATGAAATGTAAAATCCTGTCAAAAAATGAAAAGTAAAATTGAAGTTACTTTTCTGGCTGTATTGACTTAAATTACAATAGAGAAACATTTTAGCTATTTTTGAATATAATTTTATTTTATTTTATTAATAAAATATGTAGTATATTTTGAATACATAGTATGACTTTTTCATAAATAAATCAATTCAGTCACTTCAAACAGAATTTTATATTTTTCAACAGAGTCAGTCGATTTTGATATTACCAAATGATCTTTTAGTCGAGAAATAAGAGAGAGAATTGACAAAAATTACCCAAAAGGGAATCTGATAGAAAATTGAGAAATACCAGGGTGTAAATCTTTTTTTTTTTTTCGTTTTTAAGATGACACAAACAATTTATTTTAAAATTTGAAAACAATGCTTATTGCTTGTACATAAACCAAATGAAACGTGTATGTAAGGGTTAATTATCTAAATAGGAGTAAACGATAGTCAATAATCAAAAGTATGACTACATTGTGTTTTTGATTCACTAGTAGGACTAATTGTGTGTGTTTGGAAACATATACCCCTTTAGCTATTGAAATGTTTTAATTCAAAATAAAATCATAAAAAAACAAAAAATTGTAAAAAACATAAAAATTAATAATATATTTATAAGCTAATTTTAAAAAAAAAATAAAATAAAACCGTAAAATAATCACCGCCGCCTCTGCCACCCCAGGACCACCTCCTCCGTTCACCAAATTAAAAATGCCACATACATTAGTAATGCCATATTAATAAATGGCAGCTTTAATGAAATTTTTTGCATTATCAAAGAGTAATATGCCATTTGCTTTACATTTTCAGGAAAAATGACATTTGTTTTTACAAAAAATGGCATTTTTTACAGCGCTCGGAGGCGGTGGTTCAAGGAGGCAGTAGAGGCGGTGGGAGAGACATTCATTTTTTTTTTGTTTTTTTATGGATTTTTACTTTTTTCTTTATTAAAAGTGGTCAAGAGCACAAATAAGACTACATCTTTTAAATTCCCCTGGTGGGACTATTTATGTGTGTTTGGAAAAATATACCCTTGTAGCTTTTTAAAATTTCTTAATTAATGATAAAATCATAAAAAAATGTAAAATAAAATTACAAAATAAAAAATTAATTCTTTTAGAAAAAAATTAAAAAAATTTTAAAAAAAAACAAGGCAAAGAAAATGCCGCCACCTCTGCCACCCAACACCACCGGCTACCATTATCGGTTGGAAATCTGCCAACATTTTTAGTAAGGTCATAATAATGACAGATTTAATGAGAATTTTGGCATTATGAAGAGTAATATTGCCATTTTCTTAGCATTCTTAGAAAAATGGCATTTTTTTTTACAAAAAATGACGGATTTTTCACCGATCGGTGGTGGTGATGCTGGGAGGCGGTGGGAAAGGTATCCATATTTTTTCTTATGAGTTGTTACTCTTTTTTATTAATTTAAAAAATAATAATAAATTATTTTTTTTATAAACATTTTATCACTAATTTCTTTTACCATATTTTGATATTTTTAGAGATTTTTCCTTATTTTTTAAGATTTCATATGAATTGGAACATTTCATTATGAATTCATATCCTTAGAGGTATTTAGGCTAGAAATCAATGTTCATTCCTCTAAAATACTAGTCTCATTTGTGCATTTTAGAGAATTTTTAGTCATTTCTATTGACAAAAAACACAAAAATCCACATTTTTTATTTTTTCCCTAATTTACTTGGATAATTTCTATTTTCTAAACGTGTAAGGGAGTGTTTGCAACTACTTAAAAAAACACTTCTCAAGTTTTGACTTAAAAAAGCACTTATTTACTCAAACACTACAATTTTTTATTTTTTTCAGCTTGTGTGTGAAAAGTGTTTTTCTCTTTTCTATTAAACAAAAAGCACTTATTTTACCAAATACTACCAACTTGTACTTTTCAAAATCACTTTTTGTGAAACACTTTCAACTTTTACAAGTAACCACTTTTTTCTTACGTCTCCAAAAATGTTTTTTTTAAGGAGTAGCTGGAAACACTCCTTAAATAAATGATGTGTACACCTTCTGACATCACGGACTACCTCACTTCATTACCCAAGTTTTCTCTTCTCTTCTCTTCTCTTCTCTTCGTCTCTTCACCACGTGGCCGCACATCCTTTTGTAACGCCCGTCACACCACCCTCTCTTAACGGTGTGTGCCCATTCTTAGACATAAACCCCACCGTCCTCTGCTCTGCATCCTTATCATAGCACAGAAGCCCTCTTCCCGCTCGTGAATGAGGGCTATCTGTGCTTCTCTCCACCTCTGCTTATCTCTTTAACGTGCGAATTTGTTTCTGCGTTTTTCTTAAGCTATGGCTTCTTCTCTCAGATTCCGTAAGCTCTGTAACCTCCTGTGTCTCCTTGAGCTCGTGAAGGGTCCGTTTGGGAAGAAAAAATGGGATGATGGGAAGAAGCAAGAAAACCCTGTTTCTTCTTCTTTTGCTGAGGTTAAGAAGGAGAAGAAGGTCCGGGCTAAGAATGAATGGAAATGCGTAGATAGATGTTTATGGATGATTGGGTGTATCTGGGTAACATGGTGGTTCTTTTTGTTCGTCATCAATCTTTTGCCCACCCAATTGGCCACTGAATCACCCGGAGCTCTTCTCAAGCGTGACGGTTTGACCGCCTTCCACCCGGTGGTTTTGGTCCCCGGCATTGTCACCGGCGGCCTAGAGCTCTGGGAGGGAAGGCCCTGCGCTGAGGACCTTTTCCGGAAGCGCCTTTGGGGAGGTACCTTTGCTGAGATGTTCAAAAGGTCTGTTTTTTCTCTTCTAATTATTTGCAGAATTCGAAAAAGATTGGATTTTTATGTTTTTCTTGGAATGTGGATTTCAGGCCATTGTGTTGGCTGGAGCACATGTGCCTGGACAATGAAACCGGACTCGACCCGCCTGGAATTCGGGTTCGGGCCATCCAAGGACTGGTGGCGGCTGATTATTTTGCTCCGGGATACTTTGTTTGGGCGGTGCTTATTGAGAATTTGGCAAAGATTGGGTATGAGCAGAAGAACATGTATATGGCTGCTTATGACTGGAGGCTCTCTTTCCAAAACACTGAGGTTTTACTCGAACTTTTTAAGCTGCTGTTTTTGAAATTGTTAATGCATATCATAACTATTACCATTAATTAATTCTCTCCCAAAACCAGCTGCTCCATTAAAAATTTGCTACTTCTGCAAGCACATTTAAAAATTGATTAGTTTTTATGACTATCCTGATGCATGCGTGTGAAGAGTAATTCTTTCATATTAAATTTAATTGTTAAAAAAATTACAGTTATATTTTCTTTTTACCAAATTTTGAAGGCATGAAGGGTGGGCCCAAAGATGACCAAAGATTGACTAAAGAACTGTTATTTATTTATTATTATACACAAAAACCCACACATTTTGCAGAGAACAGTAAATGTTTAAATGTTTCTGTTGTTTAAATGTTTCTGTTTGATACTTACTCCGTATTCCGCAGTCTCCTTAAATAGGGAAAAGAAACTAGGAGTTCAATGAATACAGTTTGGTAGTTTTGACTAGGACATTTGAAACATTGTTGGATTTTTAAGGTATTTATTATTTATTTAATAATACTTTGTCAGAAAACCTGCACATCATCAAGTTCAATAAATGTACTATATTACTACGTATGATCAATACATTTCATGGAAGGACAGTTTAAATATTTCATCATCATCATTTTCATTTTTCATTTACCCCAGTGCCACAAAGTGCCACAAAGGCTCCCACCTACGGTAGGGTAAGGGGTCAGATGTACGCAGTCTTACCCCTGTACTAAAGCACATAGAGACTGTTTTTGGATGACCCATAGTGAAAATCGCGTCCAAAATTGCATGGACTGACTGCCGCTTCATAACAAAGAAGCGCAAACAGTTTAGTGAGCCATTTTGCTTTATTCCATCATATTCTCATTCCATCATATTCTCAAGCCAAAAAATAATGAATCTTTGGCTCCATTGCAAATGATGGAAAAACAGTTTAAATATTTCATGAAAACAAAAAACAAAATGGGGTTGAGGTCAATCTAATGCCCTTCTGATTGATATTAAACAGGTGAGAGACCAATCTCTTAGCAGATTAAAGAGTAAGATAGAGCTAATGTATGCAACAAATGGAAACAGAAAAGTGGTAGTGGTGCCTCATTCCATGGGATCACTCTATTTTCTTCACTTTCTTAAATGGGTCGAATCGCCTCCTCCTATGGGAGGCGGTGGGGGTCCCACTTGGTGTGCGAAGCACATCAAAGCAATCATGAACATCGGCCCGACATTCCTCGGCGTTCCAAGGGCATTTAGCAGCTTGTTATCAGCTGAAGGGAAATTCATTTCACTTCTCAGGTCAGTCCATTCATTTCCTTACCATTTCAAAGGACTATTGAATATTTGTCTCACTTATTAGTTTCCTATATACAGATCATTCGCTCCTAATCTACTTGATGAGACATTTCGGTTTCAAACAATGAAACAAGCCTTACGGGTGTGCCGAACATGGGACTCAATCGTTTCTTTGTTACCTAAAGGAGGAGAGACCATTTGGGGTAACTCAGATTGGTCACCCGAGGAGGAATACAAATGTAGCTCAGCAACAAAAAAACATCTGAATTCTTTTTCAAGTAGCAATAACAAAACTAAATATGGGAGAGTTATTTCATTTGTGAATGGAGCAACCGAGTCACCCTCTTCACTATTGGCAGATTTTGATATAATGGTATGTAATATGTATGTTGCTCTTTCATCTTATCTAGTAAAACAGTTTTAGGATTTTGAATAGTCACACCTATACAACTAAAATAAAAGTAGACAAAATTGTGACTTAAACCATATGATGTTAGTTTCGCAGTGACCGTATTAGCCATGATGATCTTTCGTTTTACTATATTTGAACTAATAATGATATACTTTGCAATGACTGTAGTTACCATTTAATCAGACTAGTACATTAGGAAAACTTCTTAGTGCCTTAGTCAAGCTTTCAAATTAGTTTCAAGTTAGCCAGTGAATAAATGATCACGAAACATTCTCATTTGGAAAGCTCCTTTGGAATTATATTATCTTTATCTGTAAATGATGGTCACTCCTTAAAGCAAAAATTGCTTAGTTATTCTATGAGCATTTCTCTCTAACTACGGGGGCTGATTTTGTCAGCAGGAAGATGTACATCAAAGTGTTACAAACAATGAAACATCGTGTAGAGGGGTATGGACAGAATATAACCACATCAGCAAAGAAAGCATCCATAAAGTTGTTGAAAACAAAGCATATACAGCAAAAACAGCAATTGATCTTCTTCGGTTTGTGGCACCTAAAATGATGAAGCGCGCCGAGTCACATTTCTCCCATGGATTAGCGAATGACCTTGATGATCCAAAGTATGATCATTACAAGTACTGGTCAAATCCACTTGAAACCAAGTAAGTGTAATTATTTTCATGATTTATGTATGTTATCGTAGCTCTAGGATTTTAGTTCATAGAGATTATGTTAACTTTTCTCATACCAACTGAGCACAAACATACAAACTCATATACTCCCTCCGTCCCAATATAAAGAGCACATTTGCCTTTTCAAACATTTGTAGGAGGAACACTGTTTGGACACTGTTTGAACACTGTTTGCACTGTTTGGCACTGTTCCGCACTGTTTTGTTTGCCAAAAAGGGAAATGTGTCTTTTATATTGGGACGGCCCAAAAAGGAAAATGTGCCTTTTATATTGGGACGGAGGGAGTATAAGACATTCGACTACTCTATAAGTGTAATCCAGTGCGGGCTCAATATAATAATATGAACTCACATACAAGTGCCTCAACTACTACCCATGTCTCAACATTTTGAGACCAAACTCCGAGTCTTAATTGATTACATTGTGTTTAATGTAGTAAAATGGCTGCGTTTTATACATTTTCAGGCTACCCATTGCACCAGATATGGAGATATACTGCTTATATGGAGTTGGAATTCTCACCGAGAGATCATACATGTACAAGATCTCCCCTACAAACACATGCAATAGCATTCCCTTCCACATTGACAGTTCTATAGAAGGGAGTGGCAACAGCGGATGTCTAAGAGGTGGAGTGCATTTTGTAGACGGCGACGGAAGCGTTCCAATTCTAAGCTCAGGCTTCATGTGTGCCAAACCATGGCGCGGGAAGACGCGGTTCAACCCATCGGGCAGTCGTACGTACATAAGGGAGTACCAACACGAACCACCATCTAGTCTCCTCGAAGGGAGGGGTACAAAGAGCGGGGCTCATGTTGATATAATGGGAAATTTTGCATTGATTGAGGATGTATTGCGCATTGCTGGCGGGGTTTCCGGGGAAGAGTTGGGTGGAGATAGAGTTCATTCTGACCTCATGAAAATGTCAGAGGGGATAAATATACAGTTAGATACTTAGTATATAGTTGTAGCATTACAGCGTGCAGAGTGCAAGAAAGTTAATTAGGGAACTAATATGAGTAGAGGAATGCAGGTTGGAGTGCCTCAGGTATAGGGTAATAATGTCCTGTTGTGTATAACAAAGTGAAGAAATCTTCTTCAGTGAAAAGCTTTAAGAGATGAGATTTATTTAATAAAAAGGGATTAATCACAACTTTAAGAGATGAGGGTCCCAAGCACCGCCCGCCCACCCGGACTAGTCGGATGTAAATTAGAGTTTAATCACAACTTGGCAATAGGTTAACCATCTTATTACTAATCTCGCCGGAGAGGCCCCTTAACCGGAAAGCTCCAAGATCACTTTGAGGGAGAGGGAGATCATTTGCAAATGAAATCTGGCAGGATTCATAATGAACTAGTTTTCATTTCCAGGTGAGGGTTAGAAACTTAAGGTTGAATTAGTCATTTGATTTAATAAAATGTAGTTTGACGACATCTTTATGACCCTATGGAGTTGCCCCATCTCAGTTTTGCATTAAGAGATTGCAATTTCGACGCCCTAACAGCTTCATGCTTTACAAAGTCATCTTTTATCGTTTGACAAATTCTACTGCCTTGAAATAATAATGACTATGCAATATTAAACAAATTCAAATAATTTTTAAATAGCATACTCTACAATAATAAAATTTACTTTTCAATAAAGAACATTTCAAGAGCTCTCCCATCTCTCTAGGAGGCACTCACTCACTCAAGAGCTCTCCTCAAGACTCTCTCTCTTTCATCACTTGAGTAGGCTCTCACAAGGCTCTCTCTAGGCTCTCACTCTAAGCTCACCATCTAGGCCCTCATAGGAATGAAGAGTGTCACCCCTATTTATACTATTCTTCTCAAAGCTTCTTAAGAACTTTCTATACATCACTACATTTCTAGATTCTTCCAAGAAGTATCCACAAGCTTCTCTAATCTTCTTGAAGGATCTAGAGAACTCCACACTGCTTCAGAATGTTCTAGAAGCTTCCACACGATTTTAGAGAATTCCACGTTTCTCTAGAAAACTTTACAATGTTCTAAAATGTTCTACATCATTCCACACGCTTCTAGATAATTCCACGCCTCTATACAAAGCTCCAAAATATTCTAGAACATTCAATACTTTTCTACGCACATCCAGAGAATTCTAGACATCTCCGCAATATTCTAGAATTCTCATGAACTTCTCAATTAAGGAGGAAACCCAACAAAATGTTCCATATTCCAAATATTTTTATAAAAGTATAAAATTTATAAATTATATATATACAAATATAATAATTAAAATCGTTATTCAAAATTTGTCATAATTGACTAAGAAAAGTCAATATGGTTCATCTTTTCGGTTCAAATTCTATATCATTCACTCCTTCTAAATGGTCTAATGACTCTAAAAAGATTGAACCCTCCAAATTATACGCCGTAGTTTAATGTTACAAACTCTCATTTACATTGAATTTGTCCAAGTGCACCTTTGAGAGTTTGGGGGTAACCTCACATTGAATTCAAATATGAGTTGTGCTATATGTACCTCATTTTTTGGGTATTTCATTTTTACATCACACTTGTATGATTCAAATAATGCCACATTTAAATGTATTGCCTCATTTGGATCAAACAATAAGGGATAAAAATAGGGTACCTACAACATTTTTGTTCAAATATTGTAAAAATAGGGATGGAAAGCCGGTGGGTAACAACGGAAAATGAAAGTCTTTACACCTGGGTGTGATTTGAATTGAATGTGCTAGGAGGGAAAGGGAAAAGAGCGATGGATTACACCCTGGCCGCGCTGAAGCTTCTATGCTCTCACCTCAACACCGCCACAGAGACAACAACTTCTCACTCTCAGCTCGCCTTTTCTCTCGGCGGTATTCTCTTCCAGCGCGCCTGGATTCAGGTTTCTTTCTCTTTCTATCTCTCTGCCTAACCTGTATCTATCTATCGTATGTATGAGTTTCCTAATCGCACCGTAGGGGGTTTTGGTCTCAACACCGGCGTATTCTGACAATGACGCCGGTCACTTCCTCCTCGACGATGGCACTGGTGTTATCCAACTTGTCCTCTCCAACGATTTCCTCCGATATGATGCCTGGGAATTAGGTATACGCACCTTTTTGTTTTTTGAGTATAGAAAATAAAATTATTGGTTTCTCAATCAGTATATACTTGTGTTTTCCTGTAGGTATGTATGTAATGGTTGTTGGAGGATATTCTGTTCGGAGAGATGGAACTCAGTTTATCAAGGTTAGCAATTAGGAAACTAGCTTGTTTAGAGATTTTATTTGTTTAGTGGTTGATTCTGATTTGAATTATCAGCTTAATTACTAGCAACATATTTTAAAAAATGTGGGGCTTGGGGTAGACATGTGGAATTTGTTGTTTTGGACTTTAAGCCAGAGCTGCCAGTGGTTGTTTGGCTGGCAAAACTTGTTTGCAGCAGAATGGACAAAGGCACCTATTATAGTTTAGCTATACTAAAATGATTTCCATCATTTATTGGGGCTGCTCATCATTCTGATTTCTGGAAATGATTTGATTCTCTTATGGCCTGTCCCTATAGGAGGGTTTTAGAGGGAAGATTATCCGATTAATTAGTTTATAATCTTCATATATAGTTCACATTATCTCGATCATTAAACATTTCTATCACCTTTTAGTTGTTGCCAGAAATAATCGATTCTTCAAGATGAGACTTCACAGCCTTCTTGTCCAAGTCCCTCCAAAACCCTCAATCCAAACAGGCCATAGTTAATCTGAAATTCTAAACCTTAGGCCATAGCCTATATAGCATTGTGATATGAATTCAAGTAAATAGGTTAGAGAAGAGATTTCTCAGCGATGATCTTGGGCCAAATGTCTGCTACATTCTCATACACCGTAGTAACACACAGTATATGTGGCATAGTGTGTGGGATGGAAAACAATATGTGGTGCATATTAAGAATGATACCCCCCTCCCAAGATGACAATATATGGTGGAAAGAGGTTTAACTTTTTTAGTATACTCGTATTCTATTATGAAGAGTTAAATATTTGAAAAGCCTTGCTACATCTTCAACTACATGATTGTATGATATGTAATTGTGGCATATTATTAGCTTAGCTTAATTAGGTAGTGAGAGTTTTTTTTTTCAGGTACACAAAATTGTTGACCTTTCACCAGTTCCGGATCGAGAGGCAATGTGGTATCTAGAAGTTGTGGAGGCGTTCAAACTTTTCTATCTGCCTCTTTTAGAGTATAGTTCTGATTGAATATGCCACATCTTGAAACTAACCCTGTAAGGATCAATGTGTAATTAGTGTTGTTTTCTGCATTTAACTCTCATGATTTCACTCTTCTACCGGCCTGTCTTAATTTTTAGGCATTCTTAAATTAAGATTTTTATTTAACCAATACTAATGGTACCTCACAATTCTCACCATCCGTTGCTGAATAGGGTGGAACCACAAACCAGTTCTGAAACCTGACCGGAACCAGGTGTGTAAAGAACTGGACCAGTTACCTGATTTTTAATTTGGGACAGTAACCGGCATCCAAACCTGTCCAAACTGGTTCTGGTCTGCCAAAATAGGATCGTAACATACCGTCCAGTTCCAGTTTGTTGGGGGGGGGGGGGGGGGGGGGGGGGGTTGATGGGCTTAATATTTGAAACCGGATCGGGGTTTCTCGGATAAAGTTTTAGCCTCCCCTACGAAGAACTGGCTCGGGTCAACCTCTAATGTTGCACTAAGGAAGGCGGGAGGCCTAGAGATTTTCACATGGACACGGAAAACAATGCTCTAGTGTTATGGTTGATTACAACACCTTGAATTATGCTGCAGAAAACAAATGGAAGAAGTTGGTACATGGCATGATGGCATCAATGACAAAGAGTCAAGGATAGTTCCGTAACAATTACTCCGTAGCAAATAACTATCAAAGATCATGATGTTCCTAATTGCTCTTGCAGCTCATAATTAAGTGATCGAGTATAAATTCAAACCCACTTGCTTCCTTGACCCATCAGTTATTGTCTCCTTTCACATTACTCCTGGTGATGAGACGTAAAGGAGACAAGGGTTTGGATTTCAGTGTTGCTAAAGGTTCATTGCCATGAGATCACCAGAAGCTATTTCACCTCCTTCACTTGAGAATTCGAGAGTGATGGATGCCATTGCCGTTGTTACTACTGTGTTGCCATGATTGTGTTGGAAAAAAGCTATGTCTCAAACACTTCACACACACACTAAAAAATCCAATTCGAAACCATCACAAGGAACCAACCAAAAATCAGACCACTAATTTAACCACTGGTAACATAGTATTGCTATTTGCTACTGCTTACAACAATTAAAAGAAAGACCATAATCGACATGTTAATTAAAAAAGACCATCTCTACTGCTTCATACCTACAATCCTACATAGAGGTTTGGACATTGTCTTGATTATGGACCATTTTCCTCCATACCGAAAATCAATCAAAACCCAATCCTCCAAACTTGGTGGGTTCTGCTATCATTTTTAAGGCTTTAAAACTGAGCAAGAACTGAACCGAAAGTAATGAGAAACCGGGGGGGGGGGGGGGGGGGGGGGTTGGTTGGTTCTACCAGACGCAAAACTGGACCACCATCAATGTTGCAAGAAATGTGGGGAAATGGGAAACATATTTTAATAGAAAAACAATTCTATGGAGAGTTTCTGAAAAGAAAACAACTCTTTCCCAAGAATTTTGGTGCTTTGCACAAACATGATTTGTTTTACGGTCCTTTGAACTTTGAAGCACTCAGAACCATACCAGACCCACCCCCATGTAAGAGTTTAGAATAATGCCTGAAATCCCACCGGGGGCAAACGCCCTGGGTTCAAGATTAACACCATTACATGATTGAGCATTCTTAATTTCTTCGGGAGTGTTTGCAACTGCTTAAAAAAAAGCACTTCTCAGCTTTTGGCTTTAAAAAGCACTTATTTACCAAACACTACCAATTTTTACTTTTTCTCGGCTTGCGTGTGAAAAGTGCTTTTCCCTTTTCTATTACACAAAAAGCACTTATTTTACCAAACACTACCAACTTTTACTTTTCAAAATCACTTTTTTCTCAAACACTATCAACTTTTACTACCAATCACTTTTTCATTACTTCTCCAAAAGTGCTTTTTTTTAAGCAGAAGCAGTTGCAAACACTCCCTTCATATGAACAATTCGCTGATCAGCATGCCATCTCAGCGTAGAATTCAAACACTATTGCCATTAATCATTATCTGGAAGTGCACCTCCTATAACCATACACGAAAATAGGAACTCTGAAGATAATACAGTATCAAGAAAAGCATATAGGGCCGGTGTGGAGGAGTATTTGGCCAAAATTGCTGAATCTGCTAGGTCTTTCAGAATAGAAAATCATCTGCTAACACCCCCTGCAGCCAAATAAGTACAAAACTACTTAAGAACTCAGCTTATTTTGCTGATAAGATAGTCTTGTTCATCACTTCCATCTTTGAAAGAAGACTTTGGCATAGGATAAAGCAACTAGGAAAGGATGAATTTTAATTATGATATCATTCATAGTAAGGGCAATAATGATATGCACCCAATTGGAACTATAATTATAATATAGAAAACGGAGACAACTCTTACTTGATATATTTTCCACAGTAGTGCAACAACTTGTAAGCATCTTCTTTGCTTACTTGGGATTTCCCCATAGGAAGAGACTCCTTGATATTATCCTCTAAACCAATCCATTGATTTAAAACCCATACAATTCCATTGAGCTACTTTGCAGTTAAAGAGAGCAAAGAAAAGTAATGATAGTTCACTCTAAAGCGGAACCACGCCTAAGACCTTCAAGGAGTAGAAATCACAAGCTACATATGTGCTTGAGAAATAGCTTTATCAAATAGCTTATGATTTGGTAACACTTTTTTTTTGCTGTTTGTGTTCACTTTTCAGATAACAGAAACAAGAAAAAGTGGTTTACAGCAGTGCATTTGTTTCATTGTTTAAGAAAGCATGTTTGAGATTTGGACACTATTCATAATAGCTATACAATTTTTAAAAGCAATATTCACACTACGTAATATAAATCAAATGCACAAAACATAGTTACCAAACCTGTTCCATACTTCAGAAATTTGAAAAAAAAAGGGAAAAAACTGAACACAGCAAATATGAATACCTAATGGGCCCTTGACTTTCAACACTTAGAGAAAATATTCATGGTTAAGGATACAGCTGCATTTCTGGCAACTAAAGTTGAAGTGGTACCAGAGCTCACAGGTTCTTCAGTGGAGTGGTCATTGAGAAGTCCTTCAGTGGAGTGGTCATTAAGAAGTTCTTCCTCAATAACTTCTGCTTCACTTGTGAAAACAGAGACATATTGATGTAGTTGCAAAAGGCTCACATCATTTTCTTGAACTTGAACCAAGAATCTTGCAATGATGCTCCAAAGAGCACTTCTTGCTTCAACATCCACTGAAGCATAAGGGAATAGACTAAATAGACCCTGTAATAGCAAAAGGTCTGGAGGATCTTTGTGTTATTCCTCACTACATGATAAATAAACTTAAAGCTAGTTTTTGAAGTATAAATACAGAAAAATGATGATGAAAATGAAAGTGTTTTTTTTGTTTGCAGCAAATCATCTTACCTTGTGATACTTCTAAAGCTAGATCGGCAGCCTCTGTCAGAATATTTGCTATCAAAACAGCAGCAGTAATACAACAATCAGCAACCTGCAGTAGATATGCATCATTAAAACTAAATTATCTGAGCATTTAAGTGCCTCACAGCTTGTATATACCATGTGCCTATCAACACATCATGGCCTTTAAATAAGTAAAGGCACATCTGCATTTTGAACAACCAAATATTGCTAAACTAAAGCAAAACTTGAATCAATTTTGAGATTTTGATTGGAAATATCAACCACCATAGATCAAGCATTAAAAAAACTAAACAAACAAAAATATTCTGCTCAAAGCAGGGTCCGGGTAGGGTGAGATGTACACAGACCATACACCTACCCCGAGAAGCAGGAAGATTGTTTCCGTTGAGATCCTGGCAAGCAGTAAAACGTAGTCTGGTAGTGTGTAAAATATTCAATACAAGCACATAAATGTGATGCTCAATTTTGTTGCTGTAAGATAATTTCCACAATATGAGAAATTATAGGACCACTAGCAAACTTTTGAGCTGAATATACAACAACAAGTCAGCTTCATTTCTATTTTACATATTCACTTTTTATTTTTATGATTTCATTTGATTAATCAATCTGTGGCAAGGTCACACGCCATAAACGCGAGTCACTAAGTAAAATTAGAAAAACAACTACATACCTCAACTTTTTCAGGAAGTTTGATTAGGTCGGTGAGTAGCATATAAAGTCGTTTACTTGCACAGATTTCTTGTGAGCATTCATCAATGACAGAAAGAGCCTCAATGGCCTGAAGAATCAAACCAAGAACAGAGTACCTAGTGCAGTACAAAGTGTGGTCAATAATATGGACCAAAGAATGGAGTTAATCCCACTTTAAACCCCCCGATATGGGGGGCATCACCACATTTGGTCTTCTACTATCAATTTGACCACCTTTAATCCCTTCACTTTCCAGACTGTACCAATTCCCTAACAAAATATCATCACTTCACAAATTTTAATCTTCTCTATATGCCTTTGTACAGAGGGACTAAAATGGTACATCGTTAAAAGTAGACAAAGCAAAAGTGAACACAGTAATTTTGAGAACCAAAAGTGACCATTCCACCCAAGTGGAAGGACAATGAATAAACTCCTAAATAATGTCTCCAAGTGAAAAATGTAAGTTTCCAAGTGAGAAAATGTGGAAAGTGGAATGGAAAACTGGATTCCACGCAAGCACTATGGCAGAAGAATAACAGGGAACGAATGCATTGCATAGTTTAAAATAGCCCCAATATACAAATACAGATAGCCTGGTGAACAACAAAATCAGACTACAAGGGTCATTGAATGAAGAGACGTAATATGCCTAGTAGGCTGGTAAGCTCATTAGGAAACAAATCATCATTGCCTTAATACCAGCTTTGTAGGGATAGGTGGTAAGATATGTAACGTTGTAATGGCAATTATCTGTCTAACATTAGTTAACACTAAATTAATGCAAAAAAGAGGCTATGTTTTTTTGTCGGGTGCCCTTACTGGATAGTCCCGTTTCACTGGTTATCTAAATAAGTTAATTTTATTGCAAATAAGACGCACCAAAACAAATGTGATGCAAAACAACCTTTACCTTTCAGGTAGCCGCTCTTCCCGTAATTTGCACATCTCAAAGGATAAAAGATCAACCAGAATACGAGGGAGACCCATCTTCGTTAATAGTGGTTGAAAAACACCAGCTGCTTCTTGTTTATTGTGCAACATTGCAAGGATCAGACTTACACTCTGTTTAATAGTGGAAAATTACATCACACTGATAACACATGCTGGTTTGTAAAAACCCTATAATGTACATTCTGTGCTTGAATAAACACTCTGTTTATTCTATTCTTTATTTCTTTTGAGCTTTTGACAGAAATATAGGGTCATAAAAAGAAATATTGCTTAAAGTTATGTTTTTTGGAGGGGGACATAGCCAATCATACAAATCCGAAGCTCTCTGAAGAGTGCAAGTTCTGGGACACACCTACTGTGTACAGCCAGGAATAAATCAAATAAGGAAAAAGGATACACTGTAGTACTTTACATGATATAAAGATCCCTTATCCAAATCCATTTACCTGCAAGTGAGCCTAGAAACAAATAAAGAACCCCTACTCTAAATTCATTTAATATTTTAATGGGAAAATGGAAACTAATAATCCCACCTTTTATCGGTCTTCTTAGAATAGTCCCACCTAACCGTAATCTAGGAATAATCCCACCTTTGCACCCCATCTTCTTTCATCGGTCCTTGACCGGTTGATGACCTGCTATTTCACATCATTTTCTTTTCTTAGCAAAACATTAAACCATAAATCCCACCTAATACAAATCTTCTCAAAACGGCCTCACGTATCATTTTTTCTTTTTTTTTTCTCCCTAAAAGTTTTCTTTCTTTATTTTTATCGTCTTGACTCTTTTATTCCCTTTTTCGTCCTCTTCTTCTTATTTTTATTTCTTTTCCATGTTTATGTATTCCATTTTTTCTTCTTTTTCTTCTTCCCTTTGATTATTTCGTTTTCATTTTTATGTATTTTTTCAGATTAATTCCCTTCTTATAAAAGATCTTTTTCTCACCCTACTAATTTTTTACTTTACTTTCACTTATTTTTTTCCTTTTTCTTTTCCTCAACCTAATTCCACTACGAATATATTTTTCTCTTTTCTGCATCACCATATTTTTGTAAGTGAGTCAATCATGAATTCCATCATCAATTCCATCAGCTATGATGAAAAAACTTTAGATAAAAAACTAGTGAAGAAGGAAAATGAAGGAATAAAACAAGAAAATTCTTTCTGTATAGTGGTTCGAGCGAGAGTCCCTCTATCCCTATTAAATCTTTCTACTTTGAATTAGCTCTAAGTATAAGAAAATGAAACAGATCTGTTGAGAATTCGAGAGTTATTTAGAAAGGAAAGAATAAAGCCAACTAAACCTTCCTTGAAGGAAAAGAAGAAGATTATTAAGGAACAGACCGAAAAGGGAAGTGGAAAGATTGATGGAGGACGGAGAGAGTATAATAATGGAGTAAGAATAGAGAATAATTTCAATTGCTGTAGTTGAAGTGTTGAACATAGTTTCATATTTCAGTGAAGTCAACCTCCTCCATTGTTAGCTTGAAGTGGATAATACACATATACCTAGACTAGAACAAAACCATCCACAAAATATCCATAATAATGATATGCAACCATAAAGCGCAGTGTCCTGAAATTCTGGAAAAACTGCAAATTTTAACATAAAGAAAGACAGGTCTGGAGATCACCTGATACCTTATCAATAAGCTGTGGATTTAATGTATTTTCCACAATCCATAAAATGCGACATAATATATGCTCAGATTGCAAGGCCTCTGCCCAAAGATTACTCTCATCACCTTGAAGGCATAAAGTCACCACCCTACAAAATATTACTGTAAGAATGTTGACAGCATACAAATAAATCATATAATGAGCTGGGACTTAAACTATCTAAAAAGTCACTTGATCCAGAACTCTTAATTTCTTATTTCATTTACCATACTTGGCATATTGAAATTCGAATTTTGCGACTCAGTAGAACTCTTAATAAAAGCAAATTTATTTATTTTGTAGGGAAAATTAGCTTCATCCTCAATCAATCCTCGTACCCCAATGAGACAATTCATTCAGAACAGAGGTAGTACAAACAAAGAAGTAAAAGCGTGGAAAAGTGAAAAATATCATAGCAAGATGATCCAACCAGAATGTAAATAAATAACTAAATGAGAGACGGTTGGCAAACTATTTGTCTAAACATGGTAAAACTTTTAACTTCTGATGCACTAAACTAACAGGCCATGATCTGCATCTTTGAAATTCAGGTATAGTACCGGCATGCCTCACAAAGACATGGCGTGTCATCCAGAAACAGCTGCTCCAGGATTGCCATGATCAATCCATTTGTGGAAGTTATCTTCTTCTGAGAAAGTTCATGGCAAGCTAGGTTTCCAATGATCCCCAAGCTAATTTCCTTTTGATGTATATTCATGTTAAGAAAGGAAAACATCAATGCATGTAGGTACATCAAGATCATCCATATAAGATGCACATGAACTAAATTAGGAATGCCACTCACTGTTATTCGCGCAGATTTTGAAACCACGAGAGTGGAAAAGAGAACTTCAAGTATGAGGTTTTGAACCTGTATTTTGAAAAATTGTATCTGTTATCACAGGGCTTGAGAACTGCTGCAGTGATTACTAAAAAAATTGCTGCACTCTTTGAGAGGGGGCCTAACAGTGACACAAACTAGAAATAAAATAATCATTTTCAGCCATGTTGTAAAAATCTCCATCTAGCCTTAATTAACTCCAGCCTAGGCGCTAATGTGCAATGCTGTTCTTGGGCGCATAGGATTTGTTCTTACCGAAGCCCTAGCTAAATGCCCCAATTCCACAGGTCCTGCCTCACCCATAATCGTCCACAACTTGGCACTAAGTCCCTATGCGCCTCTTAGCGGGTGCCTGGCAGGCTGAGCGCTTTTTACAAATTGATCCTTAGCGCTTTTCTTTAGCCTAATAAATAACAAGTATCACTGCCTCACAGGACTAAATAACAAAATGAAGGTCACACTGAACTGAACTGCAAACTTGAGTCTTTATCCATCATCCTAAAAAGCCGGTAGTCTACCCCGCATTTCCCATCAAAACCAACCAGAATAGTGATAACTGGTAAGATGAAGAATGTGAGCAAAAAGAGAGAGAATTCAAGCACCATCAATTCAGCATGAGTTTTACTTGTGGCAAGGTCCCATAAAATACAACCATATTCTTCCCAGGCGTCTTCTCCTGCTGTTGACCCCTTCTTTGTACTTCCACAGCATACAACATCATCAAATTCGTTAACTTTCTCTGCTTTATTAAAATCATTAACACCATCCAGGGAGTAATTTCCATTATTTGTCTGCATCTCTTCTCCATTTTCAAAAGAAGACACTGAAGTTGTCGTCAGCTCTTCAGTTTTTTGTTCACCACAGGCCCCTCCAACATTCACTTCTGTTGGTAGGAGTTTTCGTATCAAAGATATCACATATGCAGGATCAACGGTTGTTGATAGATCAAACAGCTGCAGCATGAAACTCATTACATTAATACCAGAAAATGCACAAGTAACAAAATCTTAAGAAGTAATATACGCATATGCTCAATATAAAATCCCTCCACAGCAAGCTTGTCCCCCATGCTGAGGAAATAACACACCAGAAAGGCAGTATACTTTGGTTGAACTGTGTCATTGCTTTTGTTAATTCTAGCTGGGAATTGACAGCTTGTTCAAATTTTAATCATTTAAAGAAAAGCTTAGGTCTTCCTGGAGTTTAAGAATGATGGTCTCTTTATTCTGAAGAAAACCAAATGCTTCAATTGAGATGGAGGGAAAACTGAAGACCAAAATGGAGTGCCAAAGTTTAAATCTTACCTTTTTGCTCATACAATTACATCACTGGTGCAAAAATGATTTTGGCGTACAAGAATTTGAACATTCCTGTGCAATCTGAGTCTTACTACTTACTGTAAAGATACGTTTTTTTCTTCAAAAACATAGTTTTAACCAAAGAGTTCGTTTGCTATAAAATTGACCTCCAATAAGTAAAAAAAATACAATGCCATAAGAATATATGATAACAGAAAACATAAATTATTAAAGAAAAAAGAGCTTAACAAGACTATTGCATTAACTATCAGATAAAGCTAAAATGGATTTCCGCTGAGGTTAAAGAACAAATTGAATTGCCATGTATCAGAGAATTCCTCACTGAATTCTATCATATGGATAAATGATACTACGTAATAGATATTAAAGAGGTAGCTTGGGCGTTAGAAAGTGGAAAGGAAAAAACAAGAACCCTAATTTGAGAAATTCTAGAATATACAAGGAGCACATCAAGCTTAAGAAAAACCTCATGGGGAGGGGCAGGAGGGTAGTGAGTTGATGGCAGAGATTCTGGTTCTTCTCCGCTTTCTTGAGACGGTGATTCTGTGGGGATTGACATGTTAACGATAACAACTGTTTAGCATCGTACCGCAGTGTAGCCGCGCAAATAAACACCGCTTTTAAATTACTCCCTCCCACTTCCCCATTTGACTTGGATATACTCCGTACTTCGTAGGGATGTCAAAAAAACCCGACCCGCAATGACCCGCCCTGGCCCGAGACATTTGGGGCGGGTCCGCCCCGTCTTGCAAATGGGGTAGGTCCGCCCCGCCCCGCCTATACAATGGGGTGGGTCCGGGTATTAAAATTGACCCGTGCCGCCCCGACCCGCTCAATATATATGTGTGTATACAATAAATCATAAATGCTTTGATTTTATAATATATTAATATATATTAGAATGAGATTAACGACGGATTATCAATGTCTTCTTTATATATAGCATTTTAATACATATATTCAATGATTAATATAATTAAATAGATTAACTATTCAAGTCTGAGTAATTTTTCCTTAATTTTTGAAATTTATAGCGTATCGCGAATTTGATTTAATATATTAATTTTTAATTATTATTTAGAGATAAACTTTATGTAAATTCAATTGGTAACAACTTTCCACAAATAAAAATACATACTAGCTAATTAGGTTACGGCGGGGCGGGACGGACCCGCCCCGCATGGGGCGGGTCATGGGTCAACAAGTTTGGACCCGTGCAGGTCACGGGGCGGGGCGGACCCGCCCCGCCAAGTCACGAGGCGGGTCTGGGTCTTGCAGTACCCGCCCCGCCCCGACCCATTGCCATGCCTAGTACTTCGTAAGTTTTAGGGGAAAAAAAGTGGATAGAAGTTTTACACAATGAGAATAACTCAATAAAGTGAATAAAATTGGGACGTCCCAAAATCGTAGGCGAGAAGAATAAGGGAGAGAGTATATAACATAATTTTTTGTTTTTGTTTCAAACCCTTTAAAGTTGACTTTTTGTTGCTCTTGATTTGCATAAACTAAATTTAAGCAGTCACACATTTAATACGAAGTATTTATGAAGTTAGAGTTCGGTTCCAAAAAATGATCTCAGGTGAAAATGAGAATGAATGTAGACTGATAGATTATATTACTAGTATCGTTACATGTGCCGTGCACGAGATAAAATGATTTTGTTTTTTAGTTTTACTATGTAGCCTTGAATATGGATTATACACATACTGACATATGTATATGGGATATTATACTATTGGTGGATAACACATATATTTTCATTTATTGAGAACGTCTTATTTTTGAACTAATTACCTAAACATATCATTGGTAGTGTATGTCCCTAAAAATGATTATGTACGTATTTAATACGTAGTATACTGTAAATGAGAAAAAGTAGACTCCGTAGTATTATGAAACAACAAATGAACTCTTGTGTAGTAACATGAATCATTGAAATCAGGAGATACAGTAAAATAAAGTTAGGTTTGAATTTGAATGAGAGCATCATATTGTATGCCCTTATGTTTTCCTTCTAATGAGAGCTTCTAGGTTTATTCCCGTTCATTAGTATTACCATTAACTCTTGAGGCCTTTGCAAATTCAAACCACATATTGGTCATACAATGGTCACAAAAGAAAGAAGGATCTCTCAAATCTACAATTTCTGCTTACACTTATAGTTCGTACGCTTTCAATTTTTTTATATCATAATAATTTTCAACGTCGAATGCATTTATTTATGTTCATAACGTAATCATCTATAAGTTTTTACAAAAAAGTACAAATAATAGTTATTTTTAAAGAAATCTAATGAATAATTTATAGAATAAAACTGTCTATGTTATAAATAATTCTTGTATGAATAAGCTATAACTCATTTTTAAAATAATGACATATAAAGTAGTCATTACATTTTGAGAATAGTATTATAACAATTGTATGTTCAATTAGTCTTAGAACTCCAAAAGGTTAATTATTTTAGCACTCTATGAGAAGTATTGTTCTCAGCTTCTTGAATTGTTTCAATCTTATGTGACTTTTTCTATGTTAATTTACAATGTCCAATACAATAATTCTTTTTACAATGTCCAATACAATTCTTTTTTACCAATATTAAAATGTGAAACTTGTATGGGTATAATTCATTCTTTTTTGCCACTATTAACATGTTTATACTTTTACTACGCTTTATTTATTAATGTATTACTACCTCCGTAACAGAAATATCTTCCCACTTTCCTTTTTTATCCGTAACTAAATAATCTTCTCATTTCTAAACCTTCCCATCATACCCTCAATAATTTTAAAAATAATACACTATTCCACCTACTTTTTTTGGATTTATCCTTCATTCCACCACACTATTTAATTATTATCTTCCCATCATACCCTCAATAATTTATATCCCCTATCACTATTCATAATTTCACCAACTTTCCATTTGGGAAGATTCTAATGTTACGGAGGTAGTAATAAATTATTTTTAAAAAATAACATGTCTTTCGGTCCAAAATAAACTTCACACTTTTCTTTTTGGACAGGTCCAAAATGAACTTTAAACTTCTATTTTTGATATATTGTTAATATAAAGTTACACTTATAATACCCTTACTTTATTACCCACTTCAAATGTGAAAAAATTGACCGATGCACTTATTTAAGAACGGAGGAAGTATTTTTTGAGAACGTGCACTTTGAGTTATGTACTACCTTCGTCCCAACATATTTAGTCATCTCTTAAACTTTGGAACTTAATTTTGATTATAATAATATTTTAGAAGTTATGAACTTTATACTTTTACTAGAATTGTACCCGTGCGATGCACGGGAAAATATATTTCTCTTATAAGAAGTAACTTTTTGAGTAATACAAATTAAATATGATGTTGGGATATATTATCCCGGCCTATTACTGTTCAAGAGCCCAAGATATTATCCAGTACGGAGCCCGAGCAGCTAGGTCCATTTCGGCCCATTCTGGCCCACTTCGGCCCATTAGGCCCAATATTGGCCCGTTTGGCCCATTAGGGTGGGGAGCCCCTTCTCACTTTTCCCCTATAAATACGGAGCTTAGCCTCCATGTAATGGATCGCTTTGGATCCCTTCCTTCTTTCTCCTTTTCTCTAGATTAGCTTTATCCTCCATTAATGGAGCTTCAGCATTTGTAACTTGTAATGGTGAGGAGAGTCCTAATGAGAATGAGAGGGCTTGGACATTAGCCTAAAAAGTCCCGTGGTTTTCTCCCTTTCGGGTTTCCACGTAAAAACTGAGTTGTTCATACACATTTATACATATATTTACTATATCGTGTTGGATTAAGCTCAACACTGGCGCCGTCTGTGGGAATCAGTTCAAAAAGATTACATGTGTTCTTCATTTTTGGGCAAAGATTCATACGAAGAACTGATTCTCAACAAAAAGAAAAAAGGAAATTTGATACCAAATGCACTGATTTCCAACAAAGAAAGCCTGAAAAGAAAAACAGGAGGAAGAAGACTCTGAAAAAAAAAAAAGAAGAGAAATATGCTGGAAAAATGAATCTGAAGTCCAAATCTGGAATTTTTCAGATCTGGGTTGGGGTCATCGGAGCCGCCGCCGTCGTTCGTGCCGCCGTGAACCCTCCGGCGGGTTCAGAGGAACTAGAGGAAGCTCGCTGCAGCGTCCTGGGACCCGCCAAACCGTGTCTAGCACAACACCACCTGCGATGGAGTCGCCGCCCGTGGTTCGTTCGCAGTTGGCTCCACCAGCCACCGCCAGGGTCGCCAGACCACGGCTCGTCATCAGCGGTGAACCGCTTGCCAGTCTCCGTCCGAGCCTCCACCGGTCCGTTGATGCGAGCTAGAAGATCCGCGGTTGGGAATTCCTTGGGTTCCACCGTTAATGGTGGCTTGAATTTCAGGAAAAGTGTTTTGAAGCTGAGCCAATCCTCCACCGAAGACCAGTTTTCCCGGCCGCTCTGGCTCCTTTGCGGCCACCATCACCGTCGTGGGTCAGCAGCCGACGTCTACTGCCTTCTTGGTGTCGAGGGAGTGTTTATCTGCTGCTCCAAAAGATCCTCCTTACTTGGTTAAGGTTTGGCCACGTGTGAAGGACAAAAATGGGAGTTAGCAATAAAGATGAGTGGAACACCATGCTTTATTTGAGAAGTCAACGCTTTGCAATTGCTTGATGCGGAGCTACCGAGATGAGCCCATGATTCCAGGCCATCTCACGAGAGCTAAGTATCACACGAACATTCTCATTTACTAGTTAGAGTATTTTACTAATAGTATTATTTGCTATTAGATTTCTTATCACCATTATTTATTAGGGATTAAAACTCCCGAAATTAAATAATGAGAGCGATGCTCTAAGTGATAGTTAGTTTTCACCGTCATTTAAATTTAATGACTGGTTGTTGTGGGCCCGTCGGCCCGCTCCTGATCGGCTTTAATTAGCGAACGGAGCATACCTGAATGGCCTTTGGTAGGATAGTATCATTACTATTACCTGTTTTATCACTATTATTTATTGGGGATAAAAATGTCCCGAATTAAATAATGTGGAGCGAAGCTCTAGTGATGGTTGGTTCAGCCAACATTTTATTAAATATTTAATTTCTTGTGGGCCTGTCGGCCCACTCTTGATCAGCTTGATTAAGTGATCCGAGCGTCTCCAGAAGGGCGATGCCCCGACGACGCATTTTAATTTGAGGGTTACGCAATAGTCCGCACGGCACTACGTGCCGATCGACAATCATACCCCAGTATCATTTACGCCATTAAGCGAAATGACTATTGCCAAACGTGGCCTGTGGGGCCCGAAGGCACCAAAGCACCCAACCTCCTTTTTCTGAGGTCAGTGCGACCAACTTGGGTCTGAGTTTGAAAACTCACGGACCGATGAATATCTCTATGTGACATTCGGCGGGCTGCCAGTTGGCCCCGCCGCGAGCTGCTACATCCATTAGTCCCACACGATGAGCCGGGCCGAGGGTCACGATGACCCATAGGCCGGTATTCGTGGATGTTAAAGAGGAAGCCATGTAGATGGTTATGTGTGCATATTTATTGTTGGGCCATGTGGCCGTTACCATGCTTATTGCGCAGCTGAAATCACTCGACGCGCTCGAGTGAAATGATTAAAAGAC